TAGATTGTTCCATACACCTGCTGTTTTCCCTGTGCGTTGCATTACATAAAGGTATATCCACTTCCTCCCAGCTGCCTCCCCCCGCCACATCATCACAGGCTGGGTTATTTCTTGTAGGCCTTGCAGCAGAAGCAAGTTGCTTGTAATGTTCTGCTGAAAGCCTCTCCTCTGGGAACTAGATACCTGTCTCACCCAGAGAGCTGAACTGAGGCCAGCAAGGACAAAGGAAACTAGAGTCCTTTAATGGAGATTCCAGCAGTGGGGCCTGCGAAGCACGATAGATTGAGATCTAAAGAGAGTTACATTGACCTGATAACCAGTATTTGTGGATTTTCTAAGGGCTTGAGTCAAAGCACACCTCAGCCAATGGAAAGACTCTCATTGACTTCAGGGGGCTTTGGAACAGATCCCAGAGGGACAGCATGTCTAGTGAGGGGGAGGGAATGTTTGCAGGAAGTACCATGTCAGCCTATGAAAAATTCCCATGGGGGCAAGGAGGATGGGAACATCGGAGTTGCATTGGAAGTCAGTGGGAAACTCCTCACATCCCGTGCTCCCATATGTTCCCACAGGGATCCATCCCATTTCAGTCACTTTCTCGTTGAGTTCAGCATGTGCTGTGCTCTTTAAAAGGAGTCGGGGCTTATTTTAAAAACGTCACTTTATATAGGCCATCTGGGATTAACATCCAGGTGAGGAGACAGACTATAAACATACAGTCTACACAGAAAGACGCCAAATATCCCAGTCCTGCTTTTATAGCACATTGTCCATGGCCATTAGCCAAAGAGTGTTACACACAAACGGAGTGAGAAAATAAAATTCTGACAAGCTTGTTACACTAATAACTCCAATGCACCCAAATGACGTTCCTTCACCAAGACCCGGCAGCGCCAGAGGTTTGAAAATGTATTTTCCCTGGGCTTTCACCCCTATCAGGTCCATTTTCTTCTATTGTATTTTAACTTTCAGTGCATGGAAAAATAGGGTTTTTTTTTACCAGGTCTGTCCCTTAAAAATGGTATTTGCATAAGTTATTTCTACTTTCCTATGGTCTTCCCCAGAGCAAACAGAACAAAGATTTGTATTGTGGCTTCTTGCAATAGGTGATTTCTCTATATATACGGCCTGATTGTGCCCAGCCCTACAGTGGTGCATGCAGGGGGATGAAGAAAGTGCAGGGAGCCTCCTCACACTTTTGTGCCCAATCCCTGTGCAAGGGCACAGTGGCAGCGATTGTGCTGTCCTAAGTGCTAACATCTCATTGCTAGTTCCTAAGACGGGGCAGGTCATAGCTACCCCCATCCCAGCAGAGAGGGAAGAGAACAGCTGTGGCAATCGAAAGGGAGTTGAAGGGCTATAAAAGGAGCTTTGGGAGCATGATTTCATCTCAGCCTCTGGTGGAGGACCAGTCCTGGTGCGGGAAAACCCATGTTCAGATGCCGAGAGACTAATAAAGGAGTTGCCAAACCAAACAAACATTCCAGGCTGACCCCACTGGCTTCATATTTCTCTTGATTATTTCACAAAGGAAAAAAAAATCTGTTTTTCAAGCAGCCTGGGTGACAAAGTATAAGCAATGGTCTGTTAGAGCTGGAAATGGGTGTCCACAGACTGGCTGTTGAGTCCGATTGCCAGGCAGAGAGAAGATTCCCAAGGAGAGTCACAGCACTATGAGCTCTGGCTGCATGTGCCTGGTACTGCTTAAAAAACCAACTAACCCAGAGTCTCTTTGAAAATGAGCATTCAAGCTCGAAGAGCAGCCCTGTGACTATAAATGTTGCGAGCAAATACTTGTGGAAATGGATTTATGGAGGCTAGCAGCTGCCAGCTCTCTCTCTCTCTATTCCTCAGTATCTCCTCCAGAAAAAGCTTCCAAACTGGGAATGCAGCTGCTAGGGAAAGGTCTAGAAGTAAGTTCCATGCCAGATCGATTGGCGAAACACTCCCTGGATTACACAGCCCAGTCAAGAGCACCATATCCCAGTGCTCATGTCCCCAGCGATGCTTTCACAGGCCCGCCATCTGGAAGACCACACGGGTGTTTTAAATGGAGGAATTTCAGTTTAGCCATTAGGGAAAGGTGACCATCCAACTCCGCCCACCTTGGCCAGCTGGCTCCAGCTCATCTCGCTGCAGCTCTTTTAAACTGAGTAATGACAGTGCAAGAGGCAGCCACCCTGCTGCAGGGGATCAGAGCTCACACTCACACGAGGCGTGTGGGTGTGAAGGATTCCGCTCCACATTAAGGGAATGAAACCCACAAGGGTTCTCTCTTCCCCCCAAGTGACTGACCCAAGATGGCTACTGCTCGCTGTGACTGTGTGCAGAGGAGCCAGGTACAAAACCGGATTCTTCATCGGTGAAGACCCCACAGCTCCTGCAAGTGCATTGCACCATGACCCTGATGTAAAGCAACATTACATTCAAGAAACAGCCTGGATTCTCCAACCATCGCTCTACTTGTATTAGCAGTAAGCGGTGCAGCAGGCAGCCGGAGCAGTAGAACTAAGATATCTGTTATGGATGCTGAGTGGACAGTGTGAAGTGCTGGGGCTCTAGAGTTTTATGCCCAAGCAGCTTGGGCCTGGCTGGGTTCCTGAGCCCCCTGGTGCCACACTGAGCTAAAACTGAACCTTGACCCTTGTTCTCCAGCCCCACTCCTCAGACTCCCACTCCAACTGGGAGGTTTGTTCAGGAGAAGCTGTGCCCACGCTCCCCAGCACAGCAGCGGTTGGAGTGAGAAGCCATTTCCCAGCTTGCAAAGAAATGTCCACTTCATTTGACATGGGGTTTGTTTTCCTTGATTGCAGTGGCGGTGCGGTCCAGCACATGGGGCAGCGGACTGGCACTGAGCAGATCTCAATTCCAAACCTGCCTCTGCCACTGACCTGCTGGGTGAACTTGGGCAAGGCACTGCCCCTCTCTGAGCCTGTTTCCCATCCCTCCCATCATCTGTCTTGTCTACTCCCATGGAGCAGACAAAGTCTGTTACCCTGGATTTGTACAGTGCCTATAACCATGAAGCTCTGAACTTGGCTGGGACACCTGGGCATTAAATAGTTGTAACTGAGGAGCTGCCGGCAGGGATCTTGCTGGAAAAGGGACAGCATTAGACAAACAATGGCACAGTTTCTAATCTGCTTTCCTTCTAGCTGTAATAACACTACTGCAATAGATAGAAAAGGAAGCTTTAGGGACAAGTTTCCAGCCAGTCTTTAATAAGGCACCAACAGCATTTACAGGCACATGTATCTGCAAGCATAAAATCCTGGATGGGAACAGAGTGTTACCCATAATCCTGCGAGTCCCTCGTGCATGGAACTCCTATAGATGCTAATGGGAGTTCTCATGAGACAAGCGTCAACCACGTCACTACAGGAGGAAGTGCCATCTTTTGGAGCCAGGGCTTCTGGGTATGGAAGCAACTGCACAAAGGTTCCATGATAGTGTGACCAGATAGCAAATGTGAAAAATCGGAAAAGGAGGTGGGGGGTAATAGGCGCCTATGTAAGAAGAAGCTCCGAGTATTGGGACTGTCCCTGTAAAATCGGGACAGCTGGTCACCCTATTCCACAAGTCACAGCCCTGCCAGCCATTAGAAAGGGAGCCACCAGAATAGGAGCAGCTGGGGGTACTTGTCAGGGTACTTGTCAAAGGGTCAGTGGCTTGGGAGGACCTGTAGCCAGGGTGCATTTAGATTTCAACCATCACTTTAGTCACTAGGATCCCTTAAGCAAGATTGGCCCTAGGTATATTGTTGGCCTAAACATAGCACCTCTGTCCCTTTCAACCCTGCCCCAGCCAGAACCCTTCCTTTGTACCTCTGACCTTCACTCCCATTCCGGTTTTCTTTTTGGTCCCCTGTAATCAGTTTTCTGGGCTCTGGGACCCAGCTGGGCCTTTCGTTCTAGTGGGCTTCTGCCCCCCGTTCTGCCAGGATCAACTAGGCCCAGCCTTGCCCCAGAATCCTTTGCACTGGCTGCAGTGAGCATCTTCCTACTGGGGACTTCTGCAACATCTCCCATACTAGGCGATTCCCTTCTGCTCTTCCAGTCGGATTCCACTGACCTCCTTCTGAGACCTGGACGAGAGGGACATTTGGGACTCCTGTGCTAACATGGTGCTATTTCAGATGTGGCCTCCTAGCTAAGCTCAGCCCTCCAGGGACTGCTGCAAGCTAGGCAGCCCTCAGGCTGGGTGTAAGATATACCAGGGTTCAAGCTGGCTCTGGGCAGTCCCAGGTCAGACTAGATCTAATGGTTCTTTTTGGCCTCAAAAATCTATGACTCTATAACTGCTTGTATCTCCTATGCCTAAAGTCGGTGCTGCCCTCAAGCATTTTCCCTATTGCCCCATAATTCTCTCACCAGTCTGGGCTGAGTTCACACAGTTAATATCAGCAGGACTCTAAAGCTCAGCACATACGATACAGACGGGGCTGCAGAGCAAGGGTGGCTCAAATGCTGAAAGCCTCCGAAGGGGGACAAGAGAGCTGTGCAGTAATGAGTCTGGGAGACACCTGTTTAAAGAGAGAAACCCTCCCACCAGCTTCCTCCTGAATGGGGGAAACCACTTAAATCATGTCAAGCTGCAATTAAGAATGTCATTTTAAGCACAAGCACACGTAATCCGTAAATCTCCACGTGCAATAAAAAAGAATGGCTTAGGAGAGTGAGAGAAAGCCATTAATTACCGGAACTGTAATTCAACCTCAGGGCACTCTCACTTTCTGCTCACTGGTGTCGGACCCTTGACTTGATGTGCGGATCCATCATTCAACAGGTAATTCATCTCTAATTCTATAGTGTGGAATACGTAGGGTACGGAAGCCTTTCTCTGCGTTTGTTAGCAGCCAGCTTTCCCTTCTAGCAGTGCTTGTTGTTTGATGGAAGGCGGGAGAGATTCTCTCTGATAGCCCCAAGAGGCAAGCATGGGAGAGGCGACCTTTCTATTAGAGGAGAATGACTCAGGGAAACAGGTGCGTTAATGCCACTTACTTGGACTTGTTGGGTCACCGAGTCGCCGAAGTCTCCCACTGGAGGTCCTGGTGATTCCTAGAGCAAGAAAAATCAGTGATAAGGCGCATGGCTAACTAATGTGAACCTGGTTCGGCGTCCATGCTGTGATTCCTGATCTGCCAAGCCACCCTTCTTCTGCTGGTGTCTGCTTTGTACAGAAACATTCCCTATGAAAACTCAAGAATGGATATTTTGAATGGAGAAATACCTCACTAGTAACCTCCAGCTGCCCCTGAAGTACACAATGGCTAATAGTGGTTGTTACTATTATTCTGCAGTATCAGAAACTGCAAGCATGTTTAATGGTCATGAAATTGGAGAAGAAAGTCCTGAACTAATTGAGTAGGGGACACACCCACACCCCTTTCAAGCTATGACTTTTTTACTATAGATATTCATGCATGGCAATGTTCTCTCCAACAGGAAAACACAGACATACCCACTCCTGGATCTTGCAGTGAAGTGAGTGTTGCTAAGACATGCAAACACAACAATATTAGGCCCAAATCAATGTCTAGGCTGGCGCGTGCACACAGTGTGTGCATGCATGGTACAGGGACTAAGAAGGGATGAAATGTGCCTCCCATATCCTGGAACTGCCCAGAGCCAGCTCGGCCTCTGGTGCAGGTTAGATCAGCCCAGGGGGCTGCAATGGTCTGTGTGCAGCACTGCAGAGCACACTCCCTGACCACAGCATGCTCCTGACACGTCCCTGGAGACATTCTGTGCCGGGACCCTAGTGAGTGGTACCCACTGCTAGTTCCGTGCCTGTCAGAGAGGATCCTTCCACCAGCAAAGTCAATGCAAAAGGACCAGATAGAACTAATTTATCACATAGCATCTATATTAGTGTGGCTAAACTGGCTGAAATATTAGAGACATCCCTGTGTTCTGGACTGATGGTCAACCAGTACAGAAACACCTGAATTTGGCTTGGTTTGAGGGGCCTTTTTTAATGAGTTAGTCTTTCCATAGCAGTGTGTGTGAACCACCCAGCTGCTACCCAAACAGTGGCAGGGAGATAGTTACAGAGGAAGTTTACCCCATCCTGGAACATATTTTTCTTTAGAAGGTGACAGAATCTCTCCTTTATTCCATTCCACATCCCTGCTCCAGAAAGAGAGTACTACTCCTCCATAGAGCTGGGTGATGCTGCACTGTCAGCAAGGCAGTGCTGTCTACTGGTTAGAGCAACTGACTGCAAGCAGGGATTCCCGGGTTCTGTCTCCAGTTCTGCTACCTACTCCTTGGCAATCACTTACCCTCCTTGTGCCACAAATTGCCCATGTGAGGATAGCCACAACCATTCATCTTCCACTTGTGCTGTAGGTGTTAAATTTGCCTTATTAACCAACTCTGATTTAAAACAAACAAACAAATTGGCCATATCCAGGAATCAAGGCTGCCCCTCTCTAACTGACTCCACAGTGCCTTGATGCTACAAGCAGTGGCAATTACATCATGGATCCAGTGGATCAGCTGATCTGGCTCCCATGGTCTACAATTCCCCATACTGGAAATTCCAAGAGATTCCAAACAGAATCCTTCAGTCTCTCTTGGTTTCTACTGGAAACTGGGGGGCATGGATCAACGTTCACTTCGCACTCCTCATCAGTACCCGGCCCAAGCCGGGGAGCTAATGATCCAACCAGTGGTCCAAATTCGGTGATGAATCCTGGTCATGTGCCACCTGAGGCACGTTGCGCATATGCTAAGAAGAAGACTGGACGACCAATGTCTCTAAGATCCAGTAGTCCCAGTAACTAGTAGCCAAGTAGATGCACTACTCTTTCCAAACCCTCATTGGCCACTAGGGCATTTTGAACAGGAATTTCCACTAAGATCCCCAGCCCACTTGCAACTTGCAGGATGCAAGCAGGTTTGGAACTCTCCACTTTTTAATCAATGCAGACTTCATTTATAAGAGATAGCTCACTAGTAAGTGTCTTTTCCTCCCACCCTGCAGCAACCAGTCAGAAAACCAGGGTGCACCTACATCCCAGAGCCTAGAAACAGTGGGTTAAGTATTGTTGCTCCAGCCTCTCAGCTGGAACAGCTTGTGTCTTATTAAAAAAAAAAAGAGGGAGGTGGGGAAGGCAGCAAACCTCATGCTAACTGCCCTGGGACAGGGGTTTCTGGCTGGCAACTCCACTTGGAAAAAGCGCCTCATGCTCAGAGCCGTGCGGGTGCGTTTCTCCACTTTCCTTTCGTAATATAAAAAAGTCTCTATGACTGCGAAGCCACGTAGCTGAACCCCTGGGCCAGTTCCAAGATGACGCACCCTGTTCCTCATCCCCGGAGGAGGAAGAGGGAGAGCCCCCATGGCAGAATCACCCTGTGCAAGGGGGAGAGTAAAAAGTCCAGCTTTCAAAAGGAAAAAATTGAAACTGATGTTTCCCCTCTACTGGCAAACACTGCTCTATTGTGCATGTGCGAATGCAGATGGAAGAAAGCCTGTCCCTTCAACAGCTGTATCTGTATCAGTGGGGGTCTGATAGAACTCCCAGCAGTTCAGTTTGTAAACAACTTCCATTATCAGACAGCACAAGGCAGGAATCTAGTGGACAAGACTTTGGCGTGGAACGCAGTAGACCTGGGTTCTATTCCCATTTCTGCCACTGACCTTCGGTGCGACCTTGGGCACCTCTCTGTTTCCTTGTCTACTGATGTAAACAGGGTCTGAATGAATGCTCCCCTGACAGCTAACTGGGAAGGAGAGAAACTTCGGGTGTGTTTATGTAAATACAGTTGCTCCTGCTCAGCAGATAGAGCGGTGGTAAAGTGATCAACTTTGGCTGGTGTTGGGTTACAAATCACCTTAGTACTGAATGCTGGGTTAATGAAATATGGTTACCAATGTTGTAATTATTGTAGGAATACAGGGAAGCAGGACTGTGCTTAATCTGTCCCAAATGAGGGGGTCACCCTCAGTTGAAAGACCTTGTTAATCTGTTCCTCCCCACTGTTCAAAGACAGAGCTAAATATGCTTCATTAGGTGCCTCTTTTGTTATTTTAAATGCTCAATCACTCAGAGCTGAAATCACTTGAGTCGGGGCACTGTCTCTGCCCAGCCTGCAAAGAGCTGAAAATCACTAAGAGACAGATGTGCAGAGGTCATGACAGATAGCAGCAGAAATTGACTGACAGGTGGCTGGCGAATGAGTGGCTGGTGCAGTCGGAGAGGCAGAGCAAGCGGCCAGCAGGACGGCTGGCAGAAAGGCGCCACGAGTGGCCAGCAGGGCGTGTGGCGGAGAGGCACAACAAGCGGCGGGGGAGTGCCCAAGCAGCGGAGCGAATAAGGTGCCTCCTTACTTCCACCCAGGGTGGGAGGTGAACTCTGCAGATGCACCTCTGAACTCTGTGACTGCACTGACCAAGGATAGCAACTGTGAGTGGGGTGCAGAGAAGGACAGGCACGTTAAAGGGACTTTTGAGTTGCTGGACTTAAGAACCTGGGGGGAAAAGGACACTGCCCAACTTACTTGGGGGTGGGAATTTTGCTCATGGTTTATGTTTATGAAGCCTGTTTGCGGTGTTTTCCCAAATTAACGCCCAGTTACTTCCCTCCTGTTATTAAAAGTTTATTTTCTACACTCAGACTCTGTGCTTGCAAGTGGGGAAGTATTGCCTTTCAGAGGCTCCCAGGGGTGGTGTATTATTTTCCCAGGTTACTGGGTGGGGGCTTGAGCTGGTTCTGTGTTGTATTGATGGAAAGGAACCCCTAGATATTGAACCCGGCCCTGGTTGCTGCTGGCTCCACCTGGCAGAAGGGTTACATTTAGTCTGTAAGCTCTCCGGGGATGGTTTTGCTTCTTACCAGGTGTTTGCACTGTGCCTAGCACAGAGGATCCCCAACCTCACCTGGAGCCTCTAGGTGGTAATGTCACACAAACAGCATTGCAATCTCTTGTGTTTGGGGTTGTTTCTGCCACCACCTTCGGAAACATTCCCCTGAGATTTTCTTCACTTGATTTTGGCCCAAAAGGGGATTTTTTTCAGGAAGTTGGACTGGATATTTTGGAGTTTGTTTTCACTTGTGCCACACACATTTTCTTTGTTAAAAAATAATTTTAACAACACTTCTTTAGATAGGCTATGGCAAGAAAGGCTGAAACCTAGCAAGGAGGGGCTCCTCCTTGAGGACTAGCATCGTTGCTTTGTTTGGGCAGGGGGAGAGAATGATTTAGCGTTCACAGAAGCTACAAGCATTTGAAAACTGCATACATAGGAGAAACTGCCCCCTTTTGGGTGACATGCAGATGTGCAGTCATGCAGAGCTAGTTAAATCCATCCTTTTGGGGTCAAAGGCTATATTCACTCTGCTGGCAAACAGAGGCAAAGCAAGGAACTTCCAAACTTGGACAGGATTGGACATAGGAAATAGATTTTATTCCTCTTAGCCCTGGTAACAAGGTAAAAATTAAATGTAAAACATACGCAATGTCCAGGGTGGCAGAGCCCTCTGCATTTGGCGTTTCTTATTCTTGAACTTGCAATATAGCTATGTATCTATTTACACACACACACACACACACACACACACACACAATGTTTTGCACTTACATGGCACCTGTCATCGAGAGACCTCCAAGCACGTTGCTAGTATGATCTAGCTCTCACATTTCTGAGAAGCCAGTAAGGATTATTATCCCCTTTTAGTAGCTGGGTAACCCAAGCTGCAGAGAGCTAAAGTGACTGGCCCAAGTTCACGCAGTAAGTCAGTAGCAGAGACAGGATTAGAGCCCAGGTATCCTGACAGCTAGTCGGCTGCTCTAACCACTAGGCAACACCATATGAAGCTTAAAAAGCAATAATATCAAGCTTTTATATAGCGGTTTTCATTGGTAGCTCTCAAAGTGCTTTACAAAGTATTATTATCCCGATTTTATAGACAGGAAAACTAAGGCACAGAGGGGTGAAGTAACGTGCCCAAGGTCACCTAGAAAACCAGAGGCAGAGCCGAAAATAGATCCTACGTCTCCTGATTCCCAGTCCAGTGTGCTATCCTCTGGACTTCTCCACAGAGAGACAATCT